TGAGGACATGGCAGGAGCTGGTTCCTTCCCCGTGGTGGCACCCGCTGCGGCGCTCAGCTGCCTCCTCCGCCTCCTCACAGAATCAGGGATGTGTAGCCCACAGGAACTAGGCCAGTGCTGTTTCCATGGCAGCAGCGGATCCAGTCTTCATCCACGGTGGAGAGCAGCTGCAGGATGTCCCCTTTCTGGAAGCTGAGGTGACCGTCGGTGGTGCCTGTGTGGTCACACAGCGCCCGAACTGACCTGCACAGCAAACGCCATCAGGGAGGCACCTCCCCAGGGACCCTGGGTGCCATGGGGGGAGCCCCCCAGGGCTCAGGAGAGGATTTGATGCTCCTGTGAGCCAGCGACACATGCGCATACACAGACACAGACAGACACACGTATACACACACACACACACACAGAGCCACACACACACACAGCTATGAATCCAGAAAGAGCACGAGAGAAAGAAAATGCTCAAAATTGCCCTAAAAACGTCAGAGAAAAACAACTGGTGACAGCAAGACAGACACACGGGGGTTCAACCACAGCACAGCAGGAGAGGAGGGGGGGATCCCCAGGGGAGCAGTCAAGGTGCAAGGAAGCAGCAAGGAGCCGTGCCAGCCTTTCCCTGGAGAGGTGTGGGACAGCCCGGCTCTGCCTGGAAACAGCTCCTGTCTCCCCAAAAGCCCACCAGCAGCTTTCCAGCCCCAAACACTGTGGTGCCCTGCATCACCTGTGGGTCTGGGATGTGTTGGCTGTGCTCCTCTCTGGCTGTTCCTGATTGCGGGACTTCTCCGACGCCAGCCCCTTCACCACCACGGCCAGGACGCGTGCGCTGGGGGACAGCCAGCTGGAAGGGCGCCTGCCACAAAGCAGAGGAAGGCACAGGCTCGTCTAGGGGAGCCTTTTCCCAGCCATCCTGCTCAGGAACAGGTTCTGGTGATCTGGCCAACTTACCTGGACCTGGCTGAGACAGTGTCAGGACTGGGAGGGACGTTCCTGGCAGAGGGACTGGTGGCTCCAAAGAGCCGGCCCAGCCACGCACCCTTGCTGGGACCAGGAAGCGCCGCTGGGGGGGAAGGGGCTGCGCTGGCCCGAGGCTCTGGGGAAGCAGCCGGGAGGTTCTCTCCAGCAGCAGGACTGGTGGGAGCTCCAGCTCCAGCGGGCAGGATGGGGGCTTCAGGGGAAGAGGTCCCAGAGGTGTCAGCACTGCTGCTGGGCTTTGAAGTGGGGAGGTCGGGGACAGCTTTTGTCTGAAGAAGCTGCAGCTCCGTGCCTCCAGGCTCATTCACGGATAGGGGGGATCGCGCAGCTTGGATGGGGCTGGGCTCCCCTGCAGCTGCCCGCAGCTTTGTCCACCAGACAAAGGGGAA